GACAGAGTAAAAAAAAATAAAAAAAAAAAAAATAAAAAAAAAAAAAAAAAAAATAGGAAAATCTGCTCCCACTGATCCATAATTACAATTTAGTCTCTCAAAGCTCTCACGTTAACACGTCTACCTCGTGAGCACCTACATAAAGGAGCTCTGTGAAAAGCTCAACTTAGATAATCCTCATCTAAGCAAATCAACTCTGTAGGCCAATAGGAAACGAAGACTAATATTTCCACACTGTTTACAAGAAAGAAAGATAATTTCACATATTCTACAATGCAACAGGATTCCTTCCCAATGGATTTTGTAAAAGGGATTTGGGGTATTTAGAGAATCGATAAATCATTCCATTTCACAAGGGCTCATTATGATTCCCCCAAAACGTGATTTTATTATGTTCTAACAAACACTGTCACAGAACATGTTCAGCTGCAAATTCTGATTATAAACATGTATGAATTTGATAAAGGTAAATGCTGTTTGTCAGTTTGTACCAAGACAAGGATGGAACATTTTAGTTCAGACAGTTTACAGAGTTGGAAGGTCAAGTAAATTATGACATTGCTGGAATTTCTAATGCAACCTTGAATTTTCATGAACTTTAGTACACCATATTCCATTCCCTTGAAAACACAAGCTGATTTGAAATGATTTCAGGTCCGTTGTAAGCCCACTAAGTGTGTTTTTGTCCACTTGTGTTTGGACTGGTTCAACATAACTCTGCATTAATCACATAAGATGGAGACTTAGAGAGAACAGGGGTTTAAGCTACCCGGGCCAGTGCTCTTTACTGGGCCATTATCAAAGATTAGAGGACAATACTAACAACAGGTTTTGTATGCATGCATGTGTATGAGTGAACACTCACAGATCAAGATTGCCACTGGAATCAATGCATTCACCAAATAAGTTTACACACATGTACAAAATAAATGCCAGTGTTAACCAAGAGAGACCCCAGTTTTTGTTAACATTAAACAAACCTGCAACTTAAACTTTTCTACTGCTTTTTCGCAGTGAAAAAATTTGTTGAATCTTCAAACACGTCCAATCCTAAACAAATTCAAAATGAATTGCATACAATAATGTCACTTCAGTTAATTAGCTATCCCCAAGTGAAGACATAGTTCTTGGGGCTCGCAACCATTTCTAATTTTTTTAAGGGACCAGAATTCATTATTCCCAAAAATAATTCAGTACAGGCATGTTTCTTCATCAACTCAAAACAAACTAATCAGTTGCAGCAGGTGAATATTGGTGTGGGGGGGGGATTCAAATCTTGTTGATGTCTCTTACCTTCTGAGAACCAGAGGATGTGCGTTTAATGGATGCACGCTTAAAAGACCCCTCTTTGCCCTTTTTCCCTCCAAAGCCCCTGTTATCCATCTTTATGAGCTCCTAAAGCCCAGCCATCACCACCCAGCCTTACAGTCTCTGTAACCAGCAGACAAAATGACCAACAACTGAAAAGAGTGATGTCCAGCTCCAGCGAGATGGAACTAGTATGACGCTGACACAAAGGCCCCCTTCCCCGCCTGTATGTATGTAATCAGGCTTAATGGAGTTGCCCTATGAGTGATGCTCTTTAATGCAGGAGATTTAACAAATGGTGATTGGAGGTAAATCTGGGTAAAAGTCAAACAAAAATGGCTCTAATGCTAAATTTAAAAAAAACCCACGCATGGTTAGGTCATGACTTGGGAAGTATTAAGAAACCGAAATGCAGGGCATAGCTAGGACAGTGCAGCATAATCACTCGTGTGCCAATGTTCAGGTGATGAGATCAGCAAACAAAACAATCTGTTATCAACACAATCTTTCCTCATCATTATCAGTTAAAAACTCAAGATTATCAAATTATAAAATAGTTTACGTGTAGCTCGAAATAAAAAAATGCAGGCAACACCTGTTTGCTCTGCTCTTGCAACTGATAGACAATGTCATGAATAAAAAGTCATAATTCTTCAGATTACATTTCTGATAGCATTTCTGCCTGATTTAATGTTCAGAATCACTGAATTTTGAGCAAACCATACACGGTCCATCTTAATTTGATGGGTTTTATAGATTTAAAGGAGTCATATGATGCGATTTAAATTTTTCCTTTCTCTTAGGAGTGTTACAAGCTCTTGGTGCATAAAGAAGATCTGTAAAGTTGCAAAGACTAAAGTCTCAAATCCAAAGAGATATTCTTTATAAAAGTTAAGAGTCAACCACGCCTACCTAAAACGCCTCGTTCTAACACGCCCCCACATGTCTACATCACTATGTGGGAAGATTTGCAGAACGCCGCCCAAATGTTCACGCAAAGAAAGAAGGCGTAACTTTTATTCTCACTGTAGTATTGTTGCTGCCGTTATTATCGTGAAGACGCTGTGTGTTTCGTTGTGAAAGTGAAACTTCTTTGTGTGGCCTTCCAAAAGAGGACGATATCCGCTTCGTCATGCCTGGAGCTGATCCGTGCTGGTCGCTGAGGAAATACATCAACTTCGCACTGTGGATCGCCGTTCACCATGGACGAAGCGGAGTCCAGTCCGGGGTCGTCACATGGGGTCGCCACAAGCCCGCCCTACACTCCTTGGTCGAATCCGCCAGCCGTTCCTCACTCTAATCCACCGTGTGTGACGCTGTGTGTTTCGTTGTGAAAGCGAAACTACTTTGTTTGGCCTTCCAAAAGAGGACACGACTAGAAATCATTAGTTAAGTTGTATTTACAACACTGTTCCAGAACAGTTCAACCCAAATATACAGATGTGTGCAGCACATTTTATGGAGGACTGTTTCCTGATCCTGGTAGAGTAGACTACAATGCCGGCTGTTCTGACTCACAGACCGTAAGTACGTTTTTTATATTAAAGAATTTGCCACTGACAATTCAAACGCTAGTTTTGTGCAGTGTAGTTTTGAGCTCGTCGCTCCGGCCGGGACAAGGCATCACAATATGGTAAGGGGCGTAACATTTCGGTCACACGCTTGAGGTATTTGGCCAATCACAATGCACTCTATAGCTGGCCAATCAGAGCACACCTCGCTTTTCAGACCGATGAGCTTTGTAGAGGAGAAACAATAATGTACAGTATGTGGAATAATGTTTTTTGAACCTTAAACCGCATAAACACATTTCATTACACCAAATACACAAAACAATGTTATTTTTAGCAACATCATATGACCCCTTTAAGGTTATAGGCCAGAGCTAATGAGAGTTAAACTGTTCAAAAACATTTGAAGACGTGGCCAGTCAGCTAGTGTACATTCAGTGGTGCGTACGTGTGCAACCAGAGACCGAAAACGGTTTGGGTCATTTCCAGATACAGTTATTTATCCTGTTCATTTTGAAGGAAAAAGACCACAAAAAAGGGGTTTAAAAAAACATTCTTCACAACAAAAAACATTTAAAACAAGTTTATTAGAGAATAAGCTAAATAGTAACAAACTGAAAAGCATTGCCATTTCTATGAAAATTATATATATTTATTTATAACAAGAAAAATTTCATGTGACATCCAAGGCCTTGTGTGCTCCATACGTTTGCCAGTCCTCCACTGAGCAGGTTGATGTATGAAGGCTGGAGAACTGTTTCCTGTAATAAATAATATATACACAGTCCCCACCACTGTGTGCCTCATCTTCAATTCTTCTCGTCCTTCCCATCAGCCAGCAAATTCAGTTCCCTTCTCTCTCCACCTTGATTTCACTCAGGTGCATTAGACCCAGTGTCTATAAGACAAACAGTTCAATTAGGAGGACTGCATCGCAAAACCAAAAGTATGAAAATATACCATATAACATCAGCTTAGTGAATCAAATTTCTTACTTTTGCCATCACATGCTACAATTTTTACTTTGTCCACTTTGACCAAATCTGTCACCTCCCGGAACTCAACGTCATTTAAAACAAATGTCCAAACGTTATCACAGAATCTGTACGTGTTCAGAGATCCCTGTGGATAAAACAAAGAGCAGTGATTCTTAGTGCATCACAACTACGTCCAGTTCAAAGCAGAGCTAGTTAGCCAAATAACTAGTTAGCAGACAAAACTTAAACTTCTTTCTAAAGGTTATTGTGGAGGATGTTGACTTACCCTAAAATTGACCCTGTTGCGGACCCGGTTGGCCAGTGCTGTGTTGATAGCTTTATCAAACTGTAAAAGGACTTGGAGGGCCAATTGTGGTGTTATCTGTTGAGTCTGCAGAAGGAGGAAAAATACAGTTGAATGTGTTCTGTTAAGAATTCATACATATTTAACACTAGAGCCTGACCGATATCGTTTTGCCGATATTATCGGCCGATATGAGCCTGTCGCAGATATATCGTATCGGCGAATATGCTGCCGATATGAACATTTTTTTTACAGAACATATACCGCAGATTAAATGCGTATCACAGCACACGTCTGTGGTTGGCATGGGCTGGTATGAGATTCTGACGGTATGATAACCTTAGATAAAAATATCACGGTTTCACGATATTGTGATTACAGCTCTAGAATATGTAATTTTTAAATGTCTGGGTAAAAAAACAACAACTTTTTTTTCCTCCACTGAACACAATACATTTTATTTTTAAGAAATATAGAACATTTTGGAACAGTAAAAATGTCAGGCTAAATAAATAATTAAACAAAATAATTGAATTCTTAATGTCACTTAAATGAGCCTAAACCTGCAGCTCAATAATCAAAAACATAAATCAAAACATAATTTCTGTAAAAAAAATAAAATAAACAAATCAATAAAAAAAATGCAGTCATTAAACCTGCAGCTCAACAAGGTTTTTGGAGACATGCTCACTACACATTCATCTTTCAGTCCAAGTTATGATGCAGGAATATTCACCTTTCCTGGATTAAGTTTGGAGCGGTGAGGTACAAGGATGTGTGCACATACACATAAGGAAAGAGAGAACGCGAGTGTCTCTCTCACACACACACACACACACACACACGCACGCCACTGTGTGCCTCATCTTCAATTCTTCTCGTCCTTCCCATCAGCCAGCAAATTCAGTTCCCTTCTCTCTCCACCTTGATTTCACTCAGGTGCATTAGACCCAGTGTCTATAAGACAAACAGTTCAATTAGGAGGACTGCATCGCAAAACCAAAAGTATGAAAATATACCATATAACATCAGCTTAGTGAATCAAATTTCTTACTTTTGCCATCACATGCTACAATTTTTACTTTGTCCACTTTGACCAAATCTGTCACCTCCCGGAACTCAACGTCATTTAAAACAAATGTCCAAACGTTATCACAGAATCTGTACGTGTTCAGAGATCCCTGTGGATAAAACAAAGAGCAGTGATTCTTAGTGCATCACAACTACGTCCAGTTCAAAGCAGAGCTAGTTAGCCAAATAACTAGTTAGCAGACAAAACTTAAACTTCTTTCTAAAGGTTATTGTGGAGGATGTTGACTTACCCTAAAATTGACCCTGTTGCGGACCCGGTTGGCCAGTGCTGTGTTGATAGCTTTATCAAACTGTAAAAGGACTTGGAGGGCCAATTGTGGTGTTATCTGTTGAGTCTGCAGAAGGAGGAAAAATACAGTTGAATGTGTTCTGTTAAGAATTCATACATATTTAACACTAGAGCCTGACCGATATCGTTTTGCCGATATTATCGGCCGATATGAGCCTGTCGCAGATATATCGTATCGGCGAATATGCTGCCGATATGAACATTTTTTTTACAGAACATATACCGCAGATTAAATGCGTATCACAGCACACGTCTGTGGTTGGCATGGGCTGGTATGAGATTCTGACGGTATGATAACCTTAGATAAAAATATCACGGTTTCACGATATTGCGATTACAGCTCTAGAATATGTAATTTTTAAATGTCTGGGTAAAAAAACAACAACTTTTTTTTCCTCCACTGAACACAATACATTTTATTTTTAAGAAATATAGAACATTTTGGAACAGTAAAAATGTCAGGCTAAATAAATAATTAAACAAAATAATTGAATTCTTAATGTCACTTAAATGAGCCTAAACCTGCAGCTCAATAATCAAAAACATAAATCAAAACATAATTTCTGTAAAAAAAATAAAATAAACAAATCAATAAAAAAAATGCAGTCATTAAACCTGCAGCTCAACAAGGTTTTTGGAGACATGCTCACTACACATTCATCTTTCAGTCCAAGTTATGATGCAGGAATATTCACCTTTCCTGGATTAAGTTTGGAGCGGTGAGGTACAAGGATGTGTGCACATACACATAAGGAAAGAGAGAACGCGAGTGTCTCTCTCACACACACACACACACACACACACACACGCACGCACACACACGCGCACGCGCACACACACACACGCACACACACGCACGCACGCACACTCTTTCTCCGTACAACACTCAAACAGTGGCAAAGACACCTGAGAGCCAGCATTTTGATTGTATTTAAATGTGTACGGAACATGGTTAGTCTACGTTACCCAAAAAAAATCCCATACGGCAGACTTCATCTTTTTTGACGGGGGAAAAAGTTCCAGGGATTCACCTCCTTTGGCCATCCCACACACAGGGGACTCTCACTGACTGCTAGCACCAACCGGAAGGGGAGGGGTCATGTGACTCGTTACGCTCTTCGCTGCACACAACTGAGGGAGTCCTGCACTTTCTGTTTTTGATGACACGTAAAAAAAACTGCATACCGCAGGAACGGTATAACAGAAAAATGTTGTGTTTCTGAAACCGTGACTTTCCAAACCACGGTATACCTTGAAACCGATTATCGTCCCATGCCTAATCTGCGGCGACAATAATTCTATTGTATATTGTCGCGCCGCACCGCTCACGTCCAGTGTAGAATGGAACCCATTATAATCAGTGATGTTGTCTACACTGGATGCAGTAAACTGATGCTTCGTTCTATTTATGATGTGCTGACACAAAGTTCAAATGATTTTCAACGGTCGCTTTGTCGCGTCCTGTTGCGGCGCAGACACGGTGTCAGCATAGTTTGTCAGTACAGTCAGTAACGTAGCAGACTGAAAAGTTAGTATCTTTCTGCAGTCCAATAGACGGCAGTGCTGTGGGGGTTTGAGTCTGTTGAATGGTGATTTAACGCTACGTTGTCACCTAGTTGGAGAGACTCAATGCTAAGTAAATAAACAACAATGTCCCCGTCTTTTGCTCTCACAATGAGCTTATCATATTCGTTTGCTACATTAGTAGGCTATATACAGAGGCTATATACTGTATTCTATATACAGTACCAGTCAAAAGTTTGAACACACGAATGGGAAGTGTCTCCAAACTTTTGACTATACTGTACTATAATATAGTCTACACAAAGAATATCGGCCGATATATCGCTATCGTTTTTTTTACTCCCTAATATCGGTATCGGCCGGGCTCTATTTAACACACTATTAAGCTTCACTGCATTTTTATTTTAATTTGTTTTCTTGAGTCGACGGATTCAAGAATTCCATCTTAAATTAGGGGTAATATTATTAGACATAATCATGTAACTTACATACAAAGTCTGCATCTGCATGATTGTTATTATTAACCACAGACAGGGATGACTGAGTGTTATGTCAGTCTGCGGTAACGTGAAAACAAACAAAAAATAAATATAATATTTCACGTAAACATCTAAGAAACACTAAAACAGTTTATTTATCCATCACTGGAGCAGTTCATTCATAACGTAACGTTATTCTGATAAAGAGCAGCTCAATTACAAACACAGCTGGCGTTAGCTAATACTCGTTTAACTTTAATAATCCGACACATCACTAATCAAGATCAGAACAGATCATAGGATTGAACAGTATGATTTAATAAACCACTGAAGGTAGATGCCTGGATGTGCTGTAATCGTTTTTATTCCGCTATCTTTATTTATCTATCACATCATTCTACGCTGGCTAGCAATCAAGCTAGTTAACTTCACTTTGATTCAACACTCTTACCTGAATAAGTTCATCAAGACTCTCCTGTAGACTGTTGCCGAGTGTTGTGTTTCTGTAGAGTTGATATGCCATAGTGTATTTTCAGTGCAAACGCTGTACGCCGTTCTGTTTAAAATAACCGTAGGATCCTCGCTGATGCTTTGTGATTTGCCCGCTAGCTGAGCACTTCCTCAAAATCCAAACTTGGACCGATCGCGCTACGGAAACTCGCAAGGGACACAAATCTTCGATCATGAAGGCAGGAGGATACAAATCATCATACAGGGGTTCGTACATGTCCTCTTTAACATGAAAAACGAAAATTAATATTCTGAAAAATGTATCCCAATCCTAAAACAATTCTTTCTTTTTTTTAAAATCTTGTTTGCTATAATTGTTCTGCATTAGACTTAAACTTTGAGTACAATGAAGAGATATGTGTGACTGTTTATTAGTCACATGAACATTATTATCCATCCTTATTTCTTACCACTCTTTATTTTCCGTCCATGTTAAGTGAGGGAGAAAATGATGATTTTGGCACGGAGACTTATGACATTTTCTTAAAATGCCAGTAGATGGCAGCAGATGACAAATCCAGCCATTATATTTCCTTTTGAAGCGCATGAATGTCCCGTTTGTTGCTCTGTAAGACGCTGTAAACTGTACATTTCTGAATTCATTTAGGCTACATAGATCGTTTTTTTCAACTTTGGACTGGTTTTATGAAGACTAGCATATTTCATATTTTCTTTTTATAAGAAGGTCACAAATAAAACCAGGCCCGGTTCTTAAGCGCTTTAGAAGGGGGGCTGGCAGATATCCTGGGTGGGCAATTTATTATTATGTGGAGGGGGTGGGATACAGTCTAGAAATTTAGACTGTAGCTATTGCTATTTTAACTATGCAACGTATTGCAGTGTTGTTGATATATGTACAGTGAAAAAAGAGCAATATATTTCGTGGGCAGCCCATAGCGAACCACAGAATATCATTAACTTTCACAACAAAATAAACTTTTTTGCTTTACTGAACAGTAAAAAACGGCCCTCTTTGTTCTCTTTCTCTGGATCATTGTTTCTACACGGGTGATTCTTTTAACCAAGTTTTTTTAATGTATACCAAACAAGGCCGTAATCATGTCTACTCTAGAACACTGGGGGAGACCAAGTGTTTTGAGGAAAATAAAAATCAGACCTCTATGGTACTGGTATTTATTTAAATGAACTAAATAAATATAGGATTTAAATTGATTTAGGGGAATAAACTAAAATAAGAAAAAAGAACAGTAAAAGAACAAGAATAAGATTTTTTGCAAAGTAATCAATCTGAACTGCAAATAATATTTTATTTTAAAATATGCACCATTCAATTTGATTTGTATTCCCAATATGTTGAAAACGCAAATTGTCGTCACATTCAATGAACTTAGACCATGGCTGTGAATTACAACACAGGCCTACATTCAATTCAGTTCACTGGATATTGTTGGTCGTTTATGTCATTGTAAAACAATGGTAAAATAGCTCTTACACCTTCAGCTGCTTCGCACCTTCACTGAAGCGCCGCGGTGAAATGCGCGCTCGGGTTCTGTGAACAGTAAGGCCCGCCTTCTTTGATTTGATTGATCATCTCAATCATTTTGACATTGATGAGCGCTGTTAGACGGCTGGAGCTGAGCCAGACCTGAAAATGTAGATTTCAAAATGTCTTGAAATGCAACAGATTTTACTTTTATCCTATGAAAATTCTGAAAGAAAACGCTTCGTGAGCCGACTGTTGCTATGTAGTAACGATAACGAACGCAACTTTCATCGCACAAGCTCTTATTTCGGTGTTGTTGTTTCTAACATGGTGGTCATTTAAGCAGGCAGTTTGTTTCTTACATTCAATTTAACAACATTAACAGCATTCCCCCTAACCAGCCCCCCCCCCCCCGCCGACCGCCCTCCCAAAAAAAACCTA